ACTAATAAGAAGATCACATAAGTTGATAAATTGCCACCGTGGCGACATAGTTGTCGAATCCTAATAACCAGTGAAGGAATTTTTCTTAGCTAGTAACTTGCTTTTCAGTCCTGGAATTTGGAAAATTGATAAAATGTGAATAATTATTCGATTACTCATCAGAAACTCATCAAATGCCTACTCATGGGCAGGTGTTATGTGGGAGGCAGCTTCTAAATGACTCCCAGTGGCCTTCGCTGGTTTGGCTCAGTGGATAGAGCATTGGCCTGTGGACTGAAGGGTCCTGGGTTTGATTCCAGTCAAGGGCACATGCCTGGGTTTCGGGCTTGATCCTCAGTATGGGATGTGCAGGAGGCAGCCGATCAATGATTCTCTCTCATCATTGATGTTTCTAACTATCCCTCTCCCTTCCTCTTTAAAATCAATAAAAACATTAATCCTATATAATAAAAGGCTAATATGCAAGTCAACAAAACAGTGAAACGACCAGTCGCTATGATGCATACTGACCACCAGAGGGCAGACACTCAATGCTCAGTCAGAACCCCTGAGCCAGGCTCACAGCTGGGGAGGGCAGCAGCCATGGCGGGAGTCTCTCCCACCTCCACAGCAGCACTAAGAATGTACGACTGCCGTGGAGAGCGGGCCTAAGGCATCATTCGGACATCCCCCGAGGGCATGAATTTTGTGCACCAGGCCTCTAGTATAAAATAAAGTAAAATGACTCCCAATGATGCCAACTTCCTGGTGTCCATGCCCTTGTGAGTCCTTCCCTTGTGGGTCGGACCTGCTTCTAATGCAGGAGAGCCAAAGTTTTCTGTAAAGGGCCAGGTAGCATGTATTTTTGGCTTTATGGGCCATATGGTCTCTCTTCCAATCACTCAACTATGCTGGTGTAGTTATATTAGCTGTGTTCCAATAAAACTTTATTTACAAAAATGAGTGGCAGGCAATTATGTCCTGCTAACCACATTTGCTGATCTCTGTTCTGACTAATCAAAAGTGATGTAATCACTTCTGAGACTATGCTACACAAAGACTCTGGCTTCCATCTTGCCTACCCTCTCTTGCTCTTTCACTTGCTCACTTGGCCAGATACCATTTGTGAGCTAACCTATGGAGAAGCCTCCATGGGAGGGGAGCCTCCAGCCAACAGCCAGCAAGGAACTGAGGTCCTTGTTCCAAAAACCACTTTCATGAGCCTGGAAGTAGATCATTCTCCCATCTGGCTTTGGGATGACTTCAGCCCCAGCTGACACTTGGAGCATGAGAGATCCTGGCCAGGGGATCCAGTTAAGCCATGCCTGACTCCTGACAAAACTGAGATAATAATGTTTGTTTTTTGAAGCCACTAAGTATTGGAACTATTTGTTACACAGCATTAGATTTGTTACACACAAGATAACCAATACCATTTTCTCCTCTTGGAAATATTAAATATTAAAGTTTCCAAAACATCCTACAAAATGAGACATGTTTAATTTTGTTCAATCAAGTCTTTCTCAAGCATATTGAACCACGGATCCTGTTTTTCCTGGGAAACACCTATTAATATCTTATGGAGCTATTTGGAGAAATATAAAATGCTTGAATATGAAAAGAAATCATTCCATTTAAAGAAGTAGTGATTGTCAGCATTCCATTTCTCCCTGGGTTGAGAGTCAGCAAAGTTGATATCTTAGAGAATAAACATAATCCTGTGGGAATTTATCTCTGTCCATATCTACATTAATAATATCTATATATATACATGATGTAGTGTACACCAGCAATGTTTGGCTCAGTAAGCTGTTAACATGAGGATAATAACTGAGAACTGGCTACATAAAATTCCCTTGTTTGGGCTCTTGGAGGGATTTCACATAACAACAGCTGGGCATCTGATGAAGCTAAGGGTTTGTTTTGATTTAATGTTGATTCAGAAGTAGGTATTCCCACATTGCCATGAGGTTTTCCTCTGAACCACACATTATTACACTATAGTTCAACAAAACACATCACTGCCTTGATTTACACATGAGGAAACGGAGGCTCAGAGACTAAATTACTTGTACAGCTTCAATTGGGGGGGGGGGATTTAGAGCAGGGACACAAATTTGGTGCTGTCATACTCTCTTATAATATTTCTAAAATTGTTCCTAATATGGTATACGCATTTCCAATATATTCATCTTCAAAATGTGCTTCTATCTTATTGAAACATAGTAAGAGTAGAGGCACTGCAAATGTTTGTCTTATGCTTGAAATCTTCTGGCTCTCCAATAAAATTTTCTCAGCTACTCCAGGCCCCATTGTTCTCTGCTTCTTGGAATTTATAGCAACAGATGGTTGCTTAGAAACATAGACATTTCGGATGCTTGAATCCCAGCTAGAATTTCACTGACAAGTGGTCAGTGAATTTGTGTTTTAATATCTTCAGTAATGGACATAACCTCCTGAGACAGCTAAAGCTGCTGAAGTGGTTGTTTTCCCACTTAGATTGATCCAAAATCTGTTTCTCTGACATCATCCATTGTTTCTAATTTTGTCTTCTGGGGATTTACAAACCATATGAAATTGATTATATATATAAAAAAGCCTTCAGTTAATTGGTGTGTGTGTGTGTGTGTGTGTGTGTGTGTGTGAGAGAGAGAGAGAGAGAGAGAGAGAGAGAGAGGGAAAGGGGTCCTTTTTCTTTAAAAAACAAAACAAAAACAGATACTCTGTTTTCTATAAATGTAAGAATCCATCTCTCCTATTTTTTTTTTTTAAACCCAGATACTCTGTTTTCTATAAATGTAAGAATCCATCTCTTCCTCTTTGATTTATCATCTTACCAGTGTCTGTCTCCATACTAATACCATGTCATCCTATTACTCTAGCTTTACATTGAGTCTTGATATCTGGAAACACATCTCCCTCCCTTGTTCTTCCAGACTGTCTTGATTATTTTTGGCCCTTTAAACTTCATAAATATTTTAGAATCAGCTTTTCACTCACACACACCCCCCACAATATTTCTTGGGATTTTAAAAATCGAGGTTGCATTGAATCTGTAGATCATTTTGAAGAGAATTAAACTCTTCATTCTTCCGAGTCTCTAATTCATGAATAAAATATCCCTCTCCAGTTATTTAGGTCTTTGAAAATGTTTTTCAATGAAGTGTTATAATTTTCTTCATAAAGTTTGTACTTTTATTTTTTTAGGTACGTCATAATGTTTAATGGTATCATTTCTAAAACACCTTGGTTGAAAGAGAAGACATAGAAAAATATGCAACTCATAAGTGTAGAACTCAATGAAGGCCAAAATGACTGACATGGGCTCCCACCACTAGATGGGTACCAGCACCTGAGAATCACCTTTCACGTCCCTCCCTGTCTTTACCCTCTTTTTCCTCCCCAAAGGTAACCGCCATCCTGATTTCTAACACTATAGTGTAGAACTCTGTATGAATGAAACCATAGAAAATGAGCTATTTTGTTTTCAGCTTGTTTTGTTTAATGTCTTACGTATGTCAGCCCTACATATTTTTGTGTGTAGCAGCATCCGGTTACATGAATATATGACAACATGGTTATCCATTCAACTGTAGATGGGTGCCTGGGCTTTTTCCAGCTTGGAGCTCTCTGACGCAGCTGGGAATATTGTGGATATAACTGGCCCACATGTTCATGTTTTTCTGTTGGGTCAAATGTATGCACATGTTCAACTTTAGGAAACAACGCCAAGCAGTTTTTCAAAGCGCTGATATCACACCAGCTGTATGTGAGAGTCCTGGCTGCACACCAACACATGGCTTCGTCAGTCTGTGCTGGATAACAAACCACCCTGACATTTAGTAGCTTGAAACAGGAACCTATAAAGAGGTAATGAGAGTTAAATGAGGTTGTAAGGTGGGACCTTAATCCAATAGGACTTTTAAAGAGAAGAAGAGACAATAGGTCTCTGTCTCTGTCTGTCTGTCTGTCTCTCCCCTCCCCTCCCCTGTGTGTGCACAGAAGAAAGGCCTTGTGAGACGACAGATGGCCATTAAGCCAGGAAGAGAGGTCTCACCAGAAACCAGCCCTGGTAGCACCTTGATCTTTGACATCTAGCTTTCAGAACGGAAAAAAAATAAAGCCACCCAGTCTATAGTATTTGTTATGGCAGCCCTAGTAGACTAAGACAGTACTCCACTAAGCTGTGCTTAGACTCCTGACCCATAGAAACATTGAGTTTTAGGTAAAGACAATAGGTCTCTGTCTCTGTCTGTCTGTCTGTCTCTCCCCTCCCCTCCCCTGTGTGTGCACAGAAGAAAGGCCTTGTGAGACGACAGTGAGGAGATGGCCATTTGCAAGCCAGGAAGAGAGGTCTCACCAGAAACCAGCCCTGGTAGCACCTTGATCTTGGACGTCTAGCTTTCAGAACTGTAAAAAAATAAAGCCACCCAGTCTATGGTATTTGTTATGGCAGCCCTAGTAGACGAAGACAGTACTCCACTAAGCTGTGCCTAGACTCCTGACCCATAGAAACATTGAGTTTTAGGTAATTTGTTATATAACAATGGAAAACTAATACGTTAGCCTATTTCCCCCCCCCTCTACATTCTGTTTGACTTGTGTCCTCAAAAGATAGGCAGGTGGAGTGCTGTCTTTGTGGCCTTCTTGCTTTCCGGGCTGGGGGTAGGGTGTGTGTGTGGTGGTGGAGTCAAGTCCACATCCCTGTCTGATACAGAATCACTCCAATTTCAGAGTCATTTCCCAGCAAAGGGAAAAACAACTGGCTTAGATTCACATTTGGGTGAAATCAGAGGAGGACAGAATAAGTTACAATCACTTGGAGTACATGAACTTCCTGTGTATATTTGTATGGATTCTCTTCCATGGATATATATGTCCATGCATTGTTGTAATTGTGTAATTCCTATAAGGACAATATTAATATACTGGATGTTTCTAGGTGATCTTAATGAAACATTTTTTTGAAAGGAACCTGTAGTTTCTAGGACTGGAAGAAAATAATTTGCTGGAATGTCAGTTGGGGATTCTTCCAGGAAAACCCTGGAAATGGAGAGCTTCCACACGCGATTCAGTGCCTGGACACCATGTAGCAACAAGGCATTAAACAGTCAGGTGAGTTAACACACTCTAGAATAGAACAAGTTTAATTGGTAAGGCTCATTTTACTATGACATTTTGGGTGTCATGTTGCCATATATTTTCTAAAAATACCCCTAAAGGATTTTGTTTTTGAGTCACTTTGAATAAAAATCAACCTACATTTGTCTCACCCTAGTCCCCAACTCCTACCTTATGGAAGGATCCAGATCTGTTTCCCTTTGCTCTGTACCTCCAGGGACAAAACAGAAACCTCCAGAACACACACTGTTTACAGTGACAGGAAAGAGAAAAGCGAGGTGCTTTTGGTGTTAATATTCCAGGGTGGGCAAAAGTAGGTTTACAGCCCTGGTCAGGTGGCTCAGTTGGTTGGAGCATCTTCCCGTGCACCAGAAAGGCTGTGGGTCCAGTTCCCATCAGGGCACATACTTAGGTTGCAGGTTGGATTCCCAGTTGGGGTATGTATGGGAGGCAACTGATCGATGTTTCTCTTTCTCAAATCAATAGAAACATATCCTTGGGTGAGGATTAAAAAAAGTGGGTTTACAATTGTGAATATGTGAAACAGAGTTTATTCTTGTATTATTTATTTGTATTATTAATATTAGTTATTATTTCATATCCTTATTTATTTATGATTTATCTTTTAGGTAATAATGGCTGGCAATTTAAGCCGCCCTTGGATATTTCTCTGTGTATTTCTTTAATCCGCTCTTCCCTCCTGTGCCAGCTGTGTGGCCTGATGGCCTGGGGATGTCCCCTCTGAAAGGTAGCGCAGGAAGTAGTCCTTGAACGGCTCTGTCAGACCTTGATGCGGAAGGCTGGCTGGGCCTTCAGAGCTCGTGCATGGTTCAGGCCCGCTCACAAGGGAGGGAGACCACACGAGCTGGGACCAAGGCCTGACTGAGTAATACATCAGCGAGTGTGTCTATGTCATCTGAGCAAAGCTGGGCTGACACCCAGGTTTGGGGGGGATGCTGGTTCTTGGTGTATGTCCTCCTGGAGACACGTCTAACAATGGCTATTTAGCAATATTTATTAACTTTCATTTTGGTGGGTGCCATGAAGCTATAGGACTGTGGGTTAGTAAAAATCATACCTACTTCAAATGGCCTCGTTTTCACAGTTCAACAAGGGTAGGTAGCCTGCTTGTGCTTTCAAGATGAAATATTTGGAATCTGTTTCCCCAGGCTATATCAGCCAAGGCAGAAACAAGAGCCAGGATTCCTTACCTCTCTGTGTTGAAAGAGGCCTCCATGGGCCCCTCTGTAATTATATCTCCCACCAGCACATCCAGCAAGCCTGGGCTTGTCTGTGCCCCGGGATACAAGCAGGTGAAGCTGCAGGGAGAGACCTCCACTACGCATGTGCTCTGTGAACTGTAAACTGCTGTGCAAATATAAGCTGTGAGGTGATTAACTTGCTTAGCAACTAAGAATATATTAAACTACACAGAAAAATGTCATTCCCCCTCCCCTTACAGCTCTTTCAGGAAAGAGTTGCTCTTATAAGTCATTGGTTTGACCTCTGGACTACCAAGCAACGTCAAGAATTCTTATTCACGATACTTTTACGCTGCACTAAATCACAACTAAGGTAAATGTAGCTGATTGATGTAGTTATTGTTGGTTCTTAATGAAAACAAAATGTTTATATAACCTTTAAGAGTTTTTTCCCCTAGAAAAAAAAACAAAGTCATTGGTATTTTGACGTTTGACGGTTTATAAACACGCTTCTGCTGCTGATTCCTTGAGAGCGACATGGAACCTCTGGGGCTTTAACATCTTCATATCACAGGGGAATGTTTAGTTTTTCAAAAACTTGTCAATAGCCTCAGCCAGTGAATGTTTAGCACCCCCCTCGTATATTAAGTCCCCTTGGGAACTATTAGATGACAAGATACATCAAGTAGATACCTGGTACATAGGTAGACACTCCATAAATATTTGTTACCAGAATGGTTGTATCTGAAACATATCTGAGCAGTAACCATAGCAGCAACACATAGGAACATGGGCAAGACTTGCACAGCAGTGGTCACTGATGACCAGTGTGTCCTTGTTCTCTTTCGTACCCTTCTCTCCTACTATGTCTACAATCTCCTTTGAAATCCTGCAGCAAAGACGGTGTGCTATTTGAAGGTGTTAGTTGAAATACCAGGGGTTGCTCATATTCTGATCAGGAATTAATACTCTGGAGGTAGTTAGCTAACATTATACTGGAAGGGTCACTGTCTCAGTCATTACCACATGTTTTACTAATTAACATAGCAAATATCTGGCATTAGTTATTATCAGAGCAACTAGCGGCTGGTTAACTTGCCAGATGAGTGTTAGGAATGGAGTGTCTCTGGTGAAATTAAAGATGTGGGACAGACCGGAATATTCTAGAGAGCCCTGCAGTGTGCTTGGACATGGTTGAAGAATCCAGCCCCTTTGGTAGCTGGTAGAGAAAGGATGGTTTCTCGGGTTTCATCCCCAAACAAACAGCCTTATCAATCTGGGGATTTCTGGGAGTCTGAGGTCAACCATGAGGGTAATGACAGACTTCTGTTTCTGGAATGTGAACTGCTTCTCGTCCTTTCTCATCTGAGTGAACCTTTCACCCAGAGGACAGAGCGCTGGGACTTCAGCCTACAGAAGAGGCCGGCTTGGGCTTATTCACCCAGGTTTGCTTCGTAAACCTCTAAGTATGGCATCACTCCGTGTGAGTGGCTTTCCCTACAACCTGGTGGGAAGGTTGGGGGGACTTTGAACCCCTTAGGTAGCCACTGAAAAGTACTGGAGACTTGTGCAAGACCAAATTGGCTTTTCCAGTTGGCAATACCCGCCTCCCACTTTTTCTCGCACTTTTCCCTGCCCATCTATTATGCTCAGCCATTTCCTCTCTCCTACCCACTCGCTCACCTTCTCCGTTGCCAGCTTTCTCCTGCATCCTGGGCACATAGTGGATTGTTAATCAACTGTCCCTTATGAAGCCACTGAGTCACTGGAGGGAGACAGACACCTTCTTGGTTGTGTTTAAAGAAGCTGCAAAAACAAGTCACAGAGAAAGAGCTCTCCAGTCAGTGCTGAGAAATCAGGGAAGGGAACTTTTTATGGCAGTCATTGGCCAGGTTTGCTTGTACTCCAGCTTGACAGCTTTCAAGATAAGAAAATTATAGGCCAAACCCCATATCCATATTGCTTTGTGGTGTAGTCTCACGTATCATAGACCAAGCAATTTTAGTTGTAACCACTAGAGGTCACTAGAGAACTTCTGGTATATTTTGAGGCTTATTAACATTAGGCCTGACATTTTGTCACTGGAAATTGCATCCTTTGTCTGGTACCTGAATTCTTCTTTCTATGGGACAAAGGTATGGGGCTAATCTATTCAGGAAGATTACTTTTCTTTGTTTCCTAGCAGCTGTGTTTCTGCAGGGCGCTGTTTGTATTTCATCATTCCACAAATCTGTTATTACATACTCTGGGCTGCTGATTTTAGGGGAAGTTGTATGTCAATTTCTGGTCTCTATATTTGGCATCCTGAATCCATCTTTAATTGGTAGTGGTGGTTTTTCTTGTTTAACATCAATCAGTTCACTCTCCAAAGTCTGGATTCAGTCTTTCTTGTACCACTTCCTCCCCATTTCTTTCAGCTAGCCATTTCTTCTCTCCTACCAGCATCTGCAGACCCCAGGGGTTCATAGTGTTATCCAACCTGAGTGATGCTAAATTTTAATTAAATCTTAAAAGCCTAACTCATTTTATTTTTTAAAGTTAGAGCAATCACCTTTCTTTGAAGCATCTTTATTGAGAGATAATTCACATACAACAAAATGTATCTATTTAAAGCAGCTGTGGGCAAATTACGGCCCACGGGCCGTATCCGGCCCGTTTGAAATGAATAAAACTAAAAAAAAAAAAAGACCGTACCCTTTTATGTAATGATGTTTACTTTGAATTTATATTAGTTCACACAAACACTCCATCCATGCTTTTGTTCCGGCCCTCCAGTCCAGTTTAAGAACCCATTGTGGCCCTCGAGTCAAAAAGTTTGCCCACCCCTGTAACTAGACCACTAATAGCAGGGCCACACAACTCTCTCAGGGCACAGAGAGAAAGCTAAGGCCCAGAGATGGGATGTGATTGTGCAATCATTACCACAACCGAAGTTTAGAACGTTTTCGTCACCCCAAAAAGAAACCCCATACCCATTAGCAGTCACTCCTTATCCCCACCTCCCAGCACTGGGAAACCACTAATCTACTTTCTGTTTCTATAAATTTGTCTTTTCTGGGCTTTTCATATAAATGGGATCATACACTTTGTGACTGCTACTTTCAAGTATTACAACATTCTTACCATTCACCCATTTTGTAGTATATATCAGCACTTCTTTCCTTTTTTATTGCCAAATAATATTCCATTGTATTGATATGCTATATTTTATTTACCCATTCATCAGCTGATGGACATTTGGGTTGTTTATGCATTTTGGCTACTGCAAATAATGCTGCTATAAACATTAGTGTACAAGTTTTTCTATATGGATGTGTTTATTTCTTTGAGATATATACCTAGGAATGGAATTGCTGGGTCAAATGGTGGCAGGGCAATTGACTTTTAACTATTAAGCATTTCTTTTGAATCACATTTATTCCTATAGTCCTCGTTCCTTGGTAACTGTGAATAAGCCTGTGGATAAACAGGAGAATTTAGCATTTTTTATAAATAAGCCAAGCTATAGTTATTCAAATTACCTTGTTATCAAGGCAGAGAAGCCAAGCTTTAGGTGTTTTGTAATTCCTGAATAAAATTTTTTAATTGTTGACAGTATTACAGATGTTCCCCATTTCCCCCCCTTTGCCTCCCTTCATTCAGCCCCACCCCATCCCAGACCTTCCCCACACTATTGTCTGTGTCCTTAGGTTATGCATAATATTGTTTTAATTCAGGCAGTTACAGCTATAACGCGTAAACAAGATATGCAGTATTGGTCAGAAACATGCTATCACCTTTAAAAGTTTCCTTTAAAAGCTTCTTCTTAATCTCTATGAGATGTAGTCAAACATCTAATATTTTTTCTTTCCTAATAAATATTTCATATTGTTATGATTTAAGAAGATTTCTTAAATGGAGTTTTATGATAGTTAAGACATTTTTCAAAGGTTCAGCTTCTGAAATTACCCCCTTGGCAGAGATTCTCCCTCTCACCTCGACTTAAATGTCACCTCTCCCGGGAAGCCTTCCCTGCTCGTTTTTCACCACCAGCAATTTTTACAAACCTCTACCACGGCATTTCCCCAATACATTGTGCTTATATGGCCACGTGTCTAATGGTTTCCAGTGGTGTTGTTCCCCTGCCGCTTGACTGGGCTGACCCCTCCTGCCACTCCTTAAAGGAAACGGGGCTGCTATGGCTGTCACACTCGGAGAAACCTAGGAGAAGTTTGCTTCGGTCTCCTAGCCACACTGGTGAGACCGGTTCCAAATTGCCTCTGCTCAGTACCAGGGAACGCCCCACGCGAAGGCCTCTCTGGAGCTGCTCAAACTTGTCGCTTTCCCTGGTGGGTGCGGCCACATTCATGCAAATTCATTCCCCAGAGATGGCTGGAATTTCTGTGGGTGTGTGTGTGTCTCAGGGGAGAGAGGGATAATGATCAGTGACGGGCTCTAATTATTGGTCTCCCTCGGAGCCACTGGAAATGGGGTTGCAGGGCAGAACACCCACCAACCAACATACAGATGAGAGAGCACCCCGTCCCCCCCCATCACCTCCCACTTCAGTACACCTGCCCCTCTTCCAAGCACCCCTGGGAGGGCTCAATGCAGGATGTGTAACTCAGTTGTGAACTGTGAGGGAGTCTTGTATATAAATTTTTCAGAGACAACATACTTCTAGGTTAAGTTTGAATACAGAACAGCTACATCACTGTGAGTTACTGCACACCCGTTAGAGAGAATATTTCTGTGAGGAGGCGGTGGAGAGGAGAGGAGAGTATTAAGAGACACAATGGGTTTCTGACTAACACAGTCTTGAAATTAGAGTCATCCTGACTCTTCTCTCCCCTCAGCTCGTAGTCCGGACATGCTCCTGTCCTTTCATACAGACCAGGTGGTCATAGGCAATTGTAAGAAATACTGTATGTCAAGCATGTCAAACTCACGGCCCGTGGGCCACATGCCTCATTTATTCGGCCCATGTTAGCCTTTGAGTTTGACATGCTTGCTGTATGGATTAACATTCATTGTTGGGGTGGTTTTTAGGGGTGGATGAAGCTAAGAAAGAAAACCCCTGAGTTTAAAAAAAAAGGAGAAACCCAATTAAAAACCCTAAGCTGTTTAATTGGGTGGGAATGGGGACAGAAGGAGAGCAGATGGCAAACCTGTGCATTGACGTTCTCACTTCCCATTGGGTAAATGATGTCTCTACTTAATAATGTTTCACTTCTCTTTGTAGCACTAAGCACCACCTGGCATTATGTTATATACAGCGCTTGTTGGTTTATGTTCTGTCTACATGACCATGGGATGTAAGAACTTCTTCTGGTGACTCATTCTGTCCCTAGCACTTAGAGCAATACCAGCTACAGAGTAGCCACTCAATAAATG